ATAAATAATATTATTAAATATATTAAATAATAATATATTAAATAAATATATTAAATAAACATATATAATACAAAAACGGTTTCAGAAAAGAGGGAAGAAAATGAAAAAGAAAAAAAAAAGTGAAATCCGTTTTTCAGAAAACAGAAAACGAAAACAAGAAAATGAAAACACATTTTTTTCGTTTTCTGATTTCCACAAAAAGACAAAAACGTTTTTGGTTTTGTTTTTTAAAAAAAATTGCACCAAACACGTTTTTAACACCCGTTTTCATTTTTTTGCTTTGAAAACCGTGAAGAACGAAAACGAAAACGCAAACAAACGGGCCCAATTTATTTTTCTTTCTCCCGAAGATATAGAATATGGAACATTTTTTACATTACGATCAAGTATGCATTATGATACATCACACAAATGATACAATTCATTGATGAATCCCGTTCAGTTCGTGAATTTGAGTTGAGATGTAATTTTATGTGAGAACTTTTTACTGTAGCAAAAAAGTTAAATGTGACTGTTTGTGAGAGCTTTTTACTGTAGCAAAACTCGAATTCTAAACTCGAATCAGCGAAATGAACGGGACCGTACTTGCACAAACAAGCTTGGCTAGTATTTTACTGAGGATGATCATCAAGAAGTAAAGGAAATTTGGAAACAAACGTCTTTTAGTGAATAAACGGAAGTAATAAGTTACGAGTTACAACCTGAGGCTTGTGAAGAAATTAGTCAAGTGAATAATGCTCCACAATAAGTGAAACGACAAGGAAAGAATATAGTTGAGACTTAATGTGAAGCTAAATTATAAGCTTCATTATGACTAAAATAGTCGGTCATCTGACCATCTCCACAAACCTTGATGAGCACGAGCCAGGCCCTCCTTGTGTCTGCCTTGTGTTGTAGGACTTGCATTTTAGGCACTTGTGTGCCACGATATGGAAATTCACCTCCGAATTCTCGCCACAATCATTGCAGAGGATCCAAACCTTAAAAAAAAAAAAAAAAAAAACATCCAACAAGAATACTCAAAACGCTTGAAAAGCCTATTCGCTTGAATCGCAAAGTCATAGATACAAGTCGGGATTATTACTTACCATCTTATTTTGATACATTTCGGGCATGGGAGTCGAAGCAACCTGATTGTCATTTTCAAATCAAGTCAGTTTAAAGTCCTCAAGATGACAAATTAGTTTCATGTACAAAAGTGCACTAAACACTAAAAGACTTGATCATTTCTTTCTAATTTAGAACCACTATAGGTTACCTCTTGATCAAGTTTTTCCCAAACGCGTGACATGTCGCAATATGACTTCGAGCACACTGGACATGAGTACCTAAAGAATTGACAAGTTCAGAAAAGTTTTATTTCCAAAACTAATATGAAAAGGGATAATAACAAAAACCTTCCTTGTGTTTCATTAAAATGACGTGCTCCATCTTATATTTTCAAGAATGTTGCGTCCGTCTCTTACGTTTTTCAATCGCCCCTCTGGAGAGGCAGAGTTTACCTCCAAAGGAGAGGTTTTAACACAGTTTGTAAAAAGTAGAGAATACGTGTAGCATTCCTGTAAACATATAATGGTGAAACACAACATTTCAACTAAAACACAGGAAATTTTTGTTACTCTCCCATATGCAAAAATGCCATTATTTTCATAATGGACTCACTGGAAATGCCGCTCCATCTCTTTGACGCATTCCAAATGTATAGTGTGTCCACAGGGCAAGACAGTAATGTCCCTCGTTGTATCAAAAAGAAACTGCAGGCAGTTATAAATTAATGGAAGTCAGTGAACCAACAAGCAAAATCTTCATATTTCCACTATATCATCTCACCCTTAGAAAACTTTTTACCTCGAAACACACGGGGCAACTGTGATGCATAGCTTTTTCCACACAAATATGAGAATCCTTCAACAGAGTTGAATAACAACATCCTGAAAGAGAAAAAGACTTGCCGAATATAAGTATTTGATGACATAACTATAAAGCAATTTCGAAACAAGAAATTGAGAAGTTCGAAATCTTACCACACTTGTTACAGTGAAAGAAATTCTCCTTGCCTCCAATTCTGCAATTACAAGCACAAGCATACAAAGACTTTTGTTAAGTTTCTTTGATAGAGATAATGAAAAAAGGCGAAGCGAAACCAAGGAAAAGAGCCGAACCTGCAGATACCACATTCATTACAATGGTACTGATTTTTTGAGACCTGGAAAAGCTTAAACGTTCATGACAATGCAAATAGATCAAAAGTAAGACAAGTATTTCAAGGGAAACTGCACTAAACGGCTTACATCGTCATCGAAAAACTTGCACTCAGAGCAAAAGTAATTCCCCATGCAAACCCCGCATTGGATACAGTGCTGCTGAACCTGCAAAGCAAGCACATTTACAATTATAAACCCTTTTTTCATGACAAACTAAGTATCATATTGTGATCAAATGAACTTCTAACAAGTAAACCTTACATCTTGTTCTGTGTCACATAAGGAGCAGATCACCTGAAACGCATGAGGAGACCAAAAAAAAAAAAAAAGAATCAGACAAAATACAAAATCGTGTGTAAAACCTTATCCGAATCTCTAAAGTTCACCTAAAATGGGACCCTTAATTAAAAAAAAAAGTACTATAATTTAGTCATAATTTTGAAATTCTAAGAAAAGGAAACAAACCCTTTTGAGATCATGGCGAGGAATGTCATGACGATCAAGAGGATCAACATCAAGTGAATTCTGTTTCAAAAAAAAAAATCCATGTTAGCCTATTTTTCCACTAATGTTCAGACAAGGAAAAATCTGATTCCACAACCTGTATACAACAAAGACATGTGATCTTGTCTTCGTAAATATGAATAAAATTTCATAGCAAACTATTATGAAAAAAAAATCATATAAAAAAACCTTGGATTCGTTATGGCAATGCCTGCAATCAAATATCTCATTGCAACATGGTGCTCTGATCTTGCACCTCCTCCTATAATGCGAACACCTAAAAATAAAAAATTAAATAAATAACAATAATAATAATAATAATAACAACAACAATAATAATAATATAGTAATAATAATAATAATGTATTTTAACAACAAAACAGAGCGAGCAAGAAAATACAAATATATATGAGTGCGTTTGAAACCGTTTCAAAATAATTTTAATTTTTTATAAAAATAAAAATAAAAACATTTTTAATAGATAGAAATTATTTTTAAAAATGCAAAACACATTAATATATGCTCGAGATCGTTTTACACTAAATTAAAAAATCATTTTCATTTCTATTTTTTATCTTTAACGGTGCTAAACTCTGTTTTAGAATTATTTTCATTTTTTCATTCTAAAAAACGTAAAAAACCGAAACAAGAACAATTCCATGCATATATCTTCTACAATAAAACTCAAGAAGGAATACCATCAGTTATAAATAACCGACTTATGAAGAAAATAATGAAAATGAAAAAAAAAAATGTGTGTGTGTGTGTGTGTGAGAGAGAGAGAGAGAGAGAGAGAGAGAGATACCCGAAATTCCCAGATTCCAGCTCAACAAAAGACTGGTCTTTCATGCGAGAATCTTCAATGGGCATCTGGGTCTTCAAACTGCTCTCCATTTTTTTATTTTATTTTGTTTTCTTTTTCGCAGTCTGGGTCCTTTTTCGTCCCAAAGCCAACCTGAAATGAAACCGTCAAAAAAATGATAATTGAATTCTGAAAACAAAAAAAGGGCTTAATTAATCATGAAATAGAGAAAGCAATAAAAATTGAACGAACCCGAAAAGAAAAATGGTAGAATTAGGCCATTCCACTCAAAGGCTGGACATTTTCATTGGAGGAGGACGGTGAAAGGAAGAGGAAGATGATGAAGAAGAAGAATAAAACGAAAGAAAACGAATAATAATAAAATATATATTTTTATATAGATTCCTTATATATAAAGGGCCAAAAATTCCCAATTTTTTAATGTTATCGTTTCTATCATGCTGACGAGGCGACACCCCAGTGTTTAAAGGGACGGCAACGGCCAGTCAGCAATAATTACCCAACAGATAAGTGGCTTTGCCTGACGCATCGAATTTAGGAGATGTTTGGTTAAAATATTTAAAATATGATTTAAATTATGGTTTATTATATTATTTTTTTTATAAAAAATATATATAAATTAAAAATAATTTTAATCACATAATTTTAATCTATGAACTAAATGTTTCTTTAGTTCATTACTTGAACCTAAAAAAAATTAAAATAAAAATTAAAATAAAAAAGTGATTAAAAACTTGTTCATGAGTTAAGATGCATTTAAGTATGGTTTAAATTTATACTATAATTTAAGTTTGTATTTAAATGTGCACATTTTAAATTACATCTCAATTCAAATTAAAAACTCGAATGAATAAACTAAATGGACCCTTAATAAAAACTCAATGGTGATGAAAAATTTTAATAGAGTATATAGGTAGGGTTTTATTCGTCTTGTCATTGTGAATGTATAGAAAAAAATCATCTCAATCAAATTAAAACGAAAAAATTATGACGTTTTTAAGAATAGAAAAAATATTGTTCATTAACTTGAGTTTGAGTTTAGAAACTTTAGTTGAAAGGGGAACTTAAACTCAGATTTTAGCCTCAAATTCAAGTTCAAACTCAAATTTTATAAAAGAACATGAACTTGAATAAAGTTAAAACTTGAGTTCAAATTTTTTTTTTTAATTTGGTGTAAATGAACAAGCCATAAGGCATCCTTAATTTCACCGATTCAACTTTTCAGTTCTAAGATTTTACAGTTAATGGTCTCGTTCATTTCACCGATTCGAGTTTAGAATTTGAATTTTACTACAATTAAAAGCTATCAGAGACAGTTACATATAACTTTTTTACTATAGTAAAAAGCTCTCACATAAAGTCACATCTCAAGTCAAATTAAAATTTTGAATTAGTAAACTAAACGGGCATGCTCTCAGAAAATATTGCATCTAACTTTTTTTGTAACAATTAAAAACTCTCAAAAAATATTACGTCTCAATTTAAATTGAAATTTTAGATCCGTGTGAAATGAACGGCTCTATATTCTTAGGGCTCGTTCACTTCGCTGATTTGAATTTGTAATTCGAGTTGAGATGTGATTTTGTGTGAGAGTTTTTTACTGTAGTAAAAAAGTTAGATGTGACTATTTCTGAGAGTTTTTTACTGTAACAAAACTCGAATTCTAAACTCGAATCGGCAAAATAAATGGGGCTTTAATCTAATCAACGACCTGTAACAACACCCAAATAGATAAGATGTCGTTTTTGAGTTATGACAACAACCAAACTACCATCATGTTTTTAGTTGTTAGTTGTTACCCGGTACAAACCGAATTCAGTTAGGAGGAAAACAAGGTGCAAGTAACGCACTTTTTCTTATTAGTTTCTTTACGTACCAGCTATGGAAAATGGGATTCTCGAGATTTTTTTTTATTTTAAATTTCTGATTCTGATTTTTGTAGGAAGTTTTTTTTTTTTTTTTTTTTTGGTGTCGTTTGGTCAACATATAGAAAAGATCAGCAGCCGCGGTTTCATGGTTGGCGGGAGAACTCGGAACCGCTGCCTAAACATGTTTTTTTCACAACTTGCGGAGTCACCGACGCTGAGAATTGGCTGCGAGTTGTAACACTTGCTTGTTGTTGCAAGCCTTATCCAGACAATTTCCAGCTGGTTTAATTTTTGCTCGCCATGATTTTTTAGGTGCGTTAGAAATTAGTTTCAAAATATTTTTATTTTTTATATAAAAATAAAACGAAAACGTTTTTATTTTTATTTTAAAATTATTTTTAAAAATACGTTTGATAATTTTATTATGAGATTGTTTTTAATTTAAAAAAAATTAAAATTGTGTTTGATAGTTTAATTTTAAAAATATATAATAATATTTAAAATTAAAATATATTAAATAAATAATAATGGGCAGTCGGAAAAAACAAAAATTGTTCTCTTTTTTTTTTCCTTTTTGGAAGATAATGCAAGGTTCTGTAGGTGAACCAGAAACAGAGGATGAGAAAGCAAAGCTCCAGTTCCTCTTTAATGGCGCCCACTAAGCTCACTCTTCTCCACACCACTTTCCTTTTCTCTTCTCTCCTCTTTACATTTTCACAAGGTAAAAAAAAAAAAGGCACTAATCTTTACCCATTCCAATTCTTTTTGCTTCATGGGTTTGCGTTAATTTTTGCAGCCAAATCCCAGCAATTGAGTCTCTTTATAGCGCTTTTGTCTCTTCAAACCTCCATACCCAGATCAAGATCTCCACTCCCCACGCAGCTTCCGTTATTCTCGACCCGTTTCCTCCTTCTCAGGCGTTTTTTAACCATAGCTTGACCCAATATATTCTCCCTCTTCTCCGGTTCTTGTCCAAAACCGGTTCTCCTCTAATGATGAACCTTTATCCTTACTACGTCTTTATGCAGAACAAAGGCGTTGTTCCTCTCGACAACGTTTTGTTCAAAGCCCTTGACGCCTTCCAAGGAAATGGTGGACCCCAACAGTCTCCTTCACTACACCAGTGTTTTGGACGTCATGATCGACGCGGCCTATTTCTCAATGAAGAATTTCATTACTACCATTCATTTTTTTCCCTATCTAAAACCAGAAATTTACATACGAGTGCAAAATCAGAACCAAATCTAAGCTCAAGAAAAGGAAAAAAAAAAAAAAAAAAAAAAAAAAAAAAAAAAAATTTTGAGGAAAAAAGCTTTGGAGATTCGTTGCGATGGCGTGGAGAGAGAGAGAGAGAGGCGCGCAGGGTATGAGTGAGAGAGAGCGGCTTCTGAGTAGGGGACAGAGTGAATCGAAGCAGGTGAGAGAGACAGGCAAAGAGAGAAGGAGGCGCAGAGAGGGGAGAGAGAGACGTGAGATGAGAAGAGCAGATAGAAGAGAGAGAAATCTGGGAAGAAAAGATGCTCTGGCGAGATTCGGCTATGGCCGCCAGTCGCAAACGCAGAGAGAGGAGAGAGAAGAGGAAGAGGGGACAGATAGAAAGAGAAACGAGGTTGAGGAGAGAGAAGGGGAGAGAGAATGAGAGAGAAGAGGGCAGTCGGAGAAGAGAGCGAAGAACGAAAGGAGAAAATGAAATGGGGAAAATGAAAATTTTCAGATTTTCAATCAAGGATAAAAACGTTTTTGTTTTCAATTTTTAGAAAATTTTACACCAAACGCGTTTTGTTTACGCGTTTTCATTTTTTATCCTCAAAAAATGTGAAAAACAGAAACAAACGGGCCCTTTATGTTTCTTTTCTTTTTTTCCTTTTTCTAGGGAGCTCTCTTGTGTGGCCCAAAAAAATATATATGAATTATGAATAATTTTATATTTTTCAGTCATTATATTTATATAAAAAATTATTTATTTTACATATTTTTTTAATTTAATGTATTTTTAACTTAATTTAACAGTTAAAAATTAATATTATTAATAAGATTGACCTATTAGAAAAACTCAATTACAGATCTTAATGTAGGACTTTTACTCTTTTTTTTTTTAATATAGTGTGGAGCTTATGACCTCTACTTTACGTAAAAAATGAAACTATCAAAACTCGAGCGTTATTAGATACACGCACACACTCATGCATCTAACAGTTAAGCTTGTCTCAAGTGGCTTTTTACTTCTAATTTTAATCTTTAGATTTAGTTAAAATTATAAATATATATGCATCAATAATTATTTGTAATATAAATCTAACTGTAACGTCTATCGTCATTCAAATCTGCAGTAACGTCTTTTCTCCTTACACCATCAATTCATAAAATTCCCTTTTGCTAGTTTGTATAGACAAATATTAGAAATATTTATAGTATGGTTCTAATATTAATTTTTATTTTGGTATCTTATTTTCCTAGATATTATTCAAATGCTAAATACCATATCTTCTTATGATAGAAGTTTGGCAATGTTTTCATCTAGATTCAAGTGAATCAAGATTCCATCAAACATAAATAATTAGGCCCCGTTCATTTCACCGATTCGATTTTTGCTACAGTAAAAAGCTCTCAGAAACAGTCACATCTAACTTTTTTACTATAGTCTAAGGATTCGTTTAGTTTGCTGATTTAAATTTTTAATTCGAGTTTAAATGTGACTTTATGTGAGAGCTTTTTACTGTAGCAAAAAAGTTAGATGTGACTATTTCTAAAAACTTTTTACTGTGGCAAAACTCGAAGTCTAAACTCGAATCGGTGAAATGAATAGGTTATAAAGCTCTCACATAAAATTACATCTCAACTCGAACAACGAACTAAACGGGCCCTTACTCACCTATGTCTAACCACAATTTAATTTAAACAGTGATGAAAAGTACTACTCTTTTTATAACAATCTATAATACTAAAAATAAAATTCTAGTTTGCGGTGACGGCAAATAACTAGTACGTGTGAGGTGAACGCTAATGAACTATCATTGTGGGTTTCAGATTAAAAGTTTGAGTATTAGGTAATCTTTTTTAGGAGTTTTAAATGTGAGGATTTTCGGTGTATAAAACTATATTAGGGCATGATTGTTTTGTGGATTCTTCAAGTTTGAACTCATGAATCAGTTGCGAACTCATGATTGATTCATTTTTCTGAACTTGGACTTCGGATTTAGAACCCATCCTAAATGAGTTTAGAGAGTTTGTTTGGTTAGGAGATTTCGGGGGCTTAAATCCAAAAATCAATCTGAACCTTATTTGGTTGCATGACATTTTAAACTTAGATTTGGGGTTTGAACTCATTTGAACTAAAAGTTGAAGGTTCTACCCAAGTTTATTTAAACTCACTCGTTTAGTTCGCTGATTCGAGTTTTTAATTCAAGTTGAGATATGATTTTATGTGAGAGCTTTTTACTGTAGCAAAAAAGTACGATGTGACTATTTCTGAGAGCT